AAACGTGATTGAGTTTGTGATTCAACTTTAAGTGATGTTGATGCAATACGTTTACGTAAACTTTCAAAACCTGTTTCTTGTTTCATTATTTCAGCACATGGATAATCAGTTTTACGTTGAAAAAAACATAAATCAGGACAAAGTCGTCTAATTTCAAAAAATAGTAAAAAAATAAACTTTCAATTTTTAAAATCTTACCGAACATCTTTATCAATTTGAAGTAAAACTTCATTTTCTTTAAAATAAGCTGTCCATGAACTCTCTGGTGCAGAACTTAATGGCTAAATATATTGAAATAAATATTCGTAAACATAATTGCTTTTTTTTTTTGTTAAATAACTAACATGATCAACAATATCCGAATGAGATGTTGGTGTAAGACCAGGTTTTATAATAGTGTCACGAATATAACCACGATATAATTCACTACAAAATTTATTTCTTCAATAAATTAGTTTTTTTTTTAGTTTTTGATGTTTTACCGTTGTTTAGCTAAATGTGTTTCCCATTTTGTTCGATCAAGTAAAAGATAATTAAGTAGAATCTATAAAAATATTTAAATTAAATTAAATTTTTTATTTTTTGTTTACCTTCCATGTTAAACTACGTATACCATTCTCAGCTGGACAACCTAGAAGAGAAAATAATCTATTTAAAATGAATATTTTAGATTTAAAAATTTACCATTAAATGCAAGAGTTTTGAGTTTTTTTAAATCAATTATGTCACATTTAAGTAATGTTTCAAAGTTTTCAATTCTGTTTAAATACAAATAAAAAAGATCAATTTTTCTTTATAAAAAATAGAGGTTTTTTTGTCCATTACGTTTTTTGATAAAGTGCCATTTGTATTATTTAGTTCTATCTGAAAATAAAATTTTTACATACACGTGAGATGATGATATATAGATAGATTGAAAGTATGATTTGATTTGTCAGACGATAAAATCAATTATAAAATTGAAAAGATGTCGTCAGTGTTACTTGACTATATATGAACGAAAATCAAAAATTTAGTTTTTTTTTTTGTTCAGTTTTTCTGTTTAAATTATCAATTGAAGAAGGTTCTTTTTAAGGAAAATTTGATATTTCAAAGGTCATTTATATCAATGACGAAGCCAGGAGAATACCTCAGTCCACCAAATGTAATGTTCCTACATTGTAAGAGAATCGTTTTCTGGTTCCGTCACTAATTGATTCCTATCTGTTTGTGATAGCTGCATTTAGAGAGATATGATGTAAAGAATAATGACTTTCTTTTAATTATGAATTGTTGTTTAATGATTATTTAATTGAATCAGAATTGTATAGGAGAAGATGATCTTGAATTGAGAGATTAAAAAAAAGTTTATAAAGCTAAAATGGATGCAGTTTAACACTTTTGTCAATCATTATTCTTTTTCTTTAGGATTAAATCTATTTAATAGTTTCAATAAGAATTAAATAGAGTCCTGCGGGGCAATATAGAAAAAGCTAATGCCCCGAATGTTTTTTTTTAAATTCTGATATCAATACGTGTCGAACACTTTAATTTTTTTTTAATTTCTAACAAATATCTTAATATTTAAATAAATAACAGAAAAAAGAACTAGACTGTCACTCGAGCACAGTCCCGACGAGAAAAGACAGTATACAACATCTGCTATTTTTAAATCTTAGATTTTTGTAGAGGAAATTGTAATGAATTTTAGTCGCGTTCGACTATATTGATTCAGCTGACAAATTAAGAGATGATGAATCTAAACTAACTATTGCATTTAGCATCTGAGATATCAATGATCTTTTTGAGATTAAATCATGTATAACTATATAAGGAACTTCTCAGTTGTTCATTATCATTTTTTGCATTTTTATAGTCCCCGAATGGAAAAAGTTTTTGAAAAACCAGATTTCAGATGTGCAATTGTCACATTCTCACGATCTCGGCAAACCTTTTCTCATTTCAAAATTATGACTAGGTGTAAAGAACGAGTGGATGATTTGAGTCATGACAATGCATCGAGAAGAAGAAGAAGAATTTGCCATGGCAACTAAACAAAGCGATAAGTCATCTACCACACTTTGTACAGTCAGCCACCTTTCAGTCAACAGAATTCGGGACATGAAAAATTTTGTCCCACAGAGCTCTAAAATTAACCCTGTCACAGCGGACTTTTTTTTTAGTAGAAAATATATCTGTATTGAATACAAATCCAGTCTACAGGTGCTGTCGATTAGAGTTTTTCAACCTTTCTTAAGTCGACAGCATCCGATCGAACTTCGATGATTCGAACAAGAATAGGCAAGATTTCATGGTTCTTAGGTGAATTTTGACGAAATTCTAGGATTGAATTACTATTCTTGGGTTGCATAATCTACACAGTTTTTTTTTCAATTCATCAGTCATGAACTAAATTGAAATTAAGAGATCCCCAAAAGTTGAAGTAATCTCTTCAATTGCTAGAAGTTCGATCATTCAATGACTTCCACCTTTTATTTTGAAGCGTTTCACTATATGAATCAGTTTAGGTTTTTGAAAACTTTTTCAAGATGTCAGAAGTTTTTGTATTAAAAGTACATCGTTGCTGCAAAACTGTTATCATTATCAATTTCTCTTTCGTTATAATAAACAGACCTCTTTAGAAACTAATATCAAAATACACTTCAAGTACGATTTGATGTCTGCATTGAAGGAAAATTTTCACTGTCCCATAAATGGAACATCAGTCGTGAAATGGTTAAAAACAATTAAATCATGAAGATCTTGGAAATTTATCATGTAATCAAAAACAATAAAAGTATTATGATTTATTTACCTTATTGTAGATCGTCTTACCGATACGTATTTCGAAGATTGATATCTTAAAATATTTTCTTATTAAAAATATAATTAAAACCAGTTAAAATGTCCTTGTATTAGATAAATGTGTTGGTCTTGAATCTTCGAAAACAAAAGCACAGAAATAAATAGCAGAGAATCAGTTGTTCTTATCTCTACTACTCAAGATTAGACTATATCTATAAAGAAAAAACAGAGACAAAAGAATTGCTTTTGCTTTGTCTCTCTTCGGGACGCCCAACTTCACAAAAAAAGATAACAACATAATCTCTTTCTTCAATTAATATTTGACAAATAGTATGTCTTGATTCATAACTGCTGTTGATTCTCAATTACACTTTTAAAGATAATGCAATTTACAAATGTTGATATCAATATTTGATGTCTTGATGTTTAAATAAATAAATAAATTTATGACTATGCTAATAAAGAGTTCTTGACGAAATACTTTATAAAGCCATTGTATCAGGTATCTATGAAAGTCAAAAGGATAGTTGTTGCAGTTTCTTTCTTTTTTGTTCCAATTAACTGAATAATTTATTTCCTGTATTGGAATACTATATTAAAAATCGATGAATCCATAGGATAACGCATTCGAAAAATATTGTTGATGTGCTGTGATATATCCTTCGATCTATTATTAATGTGAAGCTAGTAGAGTTCTACGGGACAGTCTTGAATCACGTTTGTTTCATCTTGCAGGACCCTAGAGTATATTGTTGTTTATATGAAATGCTACATTAACCGATTACTTTTCATTAGGACTTTTCGCAACATGAATATTTATTATATTTGTTTTATAATTCTTTGGTTTAAAATTCAGATTGAATAATAGTTTGTTTACTCATTTTTGTGTGAAATGAATTTTTATTATTTGACCACTTGAATGTTTGTTAGAGAACACAATATTATATATTTCATATCGATGACAACAGATTTATACAAAAAAAGCTGTTAGTGCAATCTCTGCAAGATTAAAGTATAAAACACGATGTAGCTGCTGTTGCTAATCGCAGGAGGATTAGTTTATTCTATCTATTTTGGCAGACATTTCTTCACCATGCTTTTATTTAATCCTCCAGATATGCAATAAAGAAGTACTTCATATATTATAACAGGACATTATTGACATACGGTCTTTAATCGTATATCAACGTCTATCACGGTCTGTTGAGGGACAAATTTCTAACCTATGTACTTCAACACTCCTTTTAGATTGTGTTTCACAAAAGCAATATCTTTAATATCTATCAAACATTCTAATCACCCAGTCTATAAGTGTTGTGTTTTCTTTTTTTTGTCAATTTGCCATAACCCTTTATATTCTTAATATGATGTATAGGTTCCTTTGGCAAAGATTCATCATTAATAAGTTGTCTCGGTATCTATGACAACAGATACTTCTTTTTCTGACCATTTCATCTGATAGTCGTCATCCTTAACATCATCTCTAGCGAATGTTCAACTAAATCACTATTGGCAAACTACGACTATTATGTAAAAGTAAATAATCAAATAAGAAAAAAAAAAAGAAGCGTAACATTGATGTTAAAAAACTCAAGACAGGGCAAGTGTCACGAATAAACAAAATGAGTCATTACTTCTATTAGTTAACAGCTGTCGCTTTTTGAAAATAGGGTTAATTGGTAGTAAGTCGTGGCTTCTATATAATCATAACCTTAATACATAATAGATATCTTTTACTGATTTGAGCAAAAATTTCGACATGAATTTAAGATTAAAGGGCTATTGTTATTCATATGATTACAAAAGAAAACTTCTAGTATATAAAAGCATCAATACTAATCTTTTAAATAATAATAAAATATATTCAAAGTTTTATATCATTTTTTTATTTATTTAATAATTAATTAAATATTTTTTTAAAATAATTTTGTATGCTCAGCAAATTATCCCATTGAGAAATTATAATTATTATTTATCATTATGTCAGTAGAAAACAAGAATACAACAATATATCTCAGTAGATAACAAAAAAAATGAGAAATAAATTAAACCAAGAACAACAGAAAACCGTGCAATTGAAGATAAATTTGCAGCACAGAAAATTAGGTTTTTAGATACGTATTAAATACGATGAGAATCGTGTTTTTTTTGTCAAAAATGTTGTTTTGTCTCTGAAAATAAATACTTTTTTTTAATCTATATATATATATATATATTTAAACCATCCAATGATTGTTGATCATGTATTTATGATTGTCTTCACGTTTGGTAAATAATCTGTCGATTAATTTTCGTATTTCACTGACAAGAAATACAGATGAAGTAAGACATACAAGGTAGAATAAATCTAAACAAAAAACACATGTATTTTTATAAGAAACACATTTTAATACTCTTATAACGAATGGACTATAAAAAATGAAGGTCTCAGTATTTTTTTAATATTATCTAGAGATGTTCATGACGGCGCTGCCGTGCAGGTGATGTTTCAAAAATACTATTACGACAGCGTCAGATCCTCTTTAGTTTCCATAGATTCGATTTTTTTTTCAAAAGATTTAACGAATATGTAGCATCAACAATTTTCAAGTACAAAACATTGTTCTCATGTTTAATCACTATCATTCTATTATTTATTTACCTGATATATTTAATGCTTCTGTTTGAAAAACATATTGTAATGGTGGTAAATAAATAACAGCCATTTGACCAACTATTGAGAGGAAGACAGCAATAAGAAAAACTCGATTAGAAAAAAAGCCTATTTCAAAAATAAATTTCGTCTAAAAAAAAAAAAGAAGTAAAATTCTTTTGTTTTTTAAAATTGAATGTTTTTTCAAACGAAATTATTTCATTACCTGTGATCGACAACTAAGTGCATTAAACATATCAAAAAAAACGAAACATGTAAATGTCATTGTTGTATCTCTTGGTGTTACTATTCCATCACGCATCTAAAATTATCCTATGTTGACTTTCAAAAATCTCATATTTAAAATATATACTTCAGCATAAAAAACACATAAAGTTCCAATAACAATAATAATTGCGCTTGTAATTATATTAATTAATAATCGTTTATCAATCATTGGATCAGTTACTTTTCTCGGTGGTTTTTTTAATACGTCATGATCAACTGGTTCAACACCAAGACTAAAATTAATTATATATGTATACGGTAACGTTCAATCTCAGATTTGCCTAGATCAATCTAGGAATCGACTAATTTATAATATTTCAATATGCTTAGTCTCCAATTCGAGATCGAATGCTAACATTTTTAAAGCTTTTTTTTTGTTTCTTTTATAAATAAACAACAAACCTTTGAGCGGGTGGTCCATCCATAATAATATTGATCCAAAGAATTTGCATAGCATTTAATGGATTTGGAAAATGAAAAACAGTTGAAAGTGTTATTAAACTTAAAGCAGCAATACTCCTGTACAAAATCAAAAAAAAACCAGAAATCTCCAATTAATTAAATAAATTCTTTTATCTAAAAGCTACATACGTGCTTAATTGAAATCGAACAAAATTTTTTATATTATGAAATATTGCTTTACCCTCTTCAATTGCTGCCCTATATAAAAACAAAAGAATTTCATAAACCTATTAATTTTAATCAAAATCTTACATTATTGTATAAAAATCATCTTTAACAAGAATCATATCTGCTGCTTCTTTACAAACATCAGTTCCCGTTTGTCCCATAGCTATACCAATATCAGCTGCTTTCAATGCAACTGCATCATTAACACCATCACCTGTCATACTAACAATATGTCCTTGTGCTTGTAAAGTCTTACGAAAAAAAATTAATTAATTAATTAATTTCAAATGTTTAATTTTTTAAAATTTACTTTAACAATAGTTAATTTATGTATTGGACTAACACGATAGAAAATTGTTGCTTTTGATATAGCATGATCAAGTTCAGATGCACTCATACGTTCAATATCTTCACCAGATACACTTAAATCAGTATTATTATAAATTTTTAAACGAGCAGCTAAATAATTCAAATATTGAAATTTAATTATGAAATAAATTTTAATTACCTATGGCTTTTGCAGTTTTTTCAGCATCACCTGTTATCATTTTAACAAGAACACCACCAGCTTTTAATTGTGATACAGCTTTTTCAACTTGTGGTCGTTCAGGATCAATGATTCCAACCATACCAACATATGTTAAATCATCAAATGATGTTCCAATAGCCATTGCAAGAACTATAAACAAAAAAAAAAATAAATTTTTTAATTAAGATTTTAAATTAGATAAATATATATGGACAAAATCATTCTTTAACAACATGATTTTGAAAAATTAAAATACGTGCATCTCAGAAATAATGAATTTTTCTAGAGTTAATTTTTGTATATGTTACATGTATGTTAAGTCATTCTGAAAAAAAAATCAGCACTAGAGACTTTTGTTCAGAGGAGTTATCAGTAAAAAAAAATCTAATGTTAAAAAAGATATCAACATTCACTTCATGCATTTTAGTTTAAAAAACACTCTAAATTGAGACAGCATTTTTAAAAACTAAACAGTATATTCTATAGACAATTTCTAAGGTTAAAAAATTTCTATCTAAAGTTTTTCTTGACCATGCCTAAATTTTTCAAAAATATCGATTTACTTTTCGTTAGCGACATAATGGAATACGAAAAAATGTTCCTATAACCGAATGAGAAGTTCAAAAGCAATTTCAAACAATACAAACCTCTTTTCGGAATCTCTAGATGATGTTATGACAAAAATTTCTTGTCCCACAGCTTGGCAGAATCTCTGAGTCTATTCTAAAGTTTTCGAATTCTTTTCTCACATGATTAGAGAGATGTTTGCCAATTACTTTTTTAATTAATAGTCAACTAAATAGTATCCGCTAGGTTTAAAATTTTTGAACTCGGTCTCGCTCAATGAAATTTTCTAATCGGATAGTCGTCCTACAAATACGAGATACTTTTTTCCGGCTTTTTGTATTCGGTGACTTGTGCACCTTACACATTTCTCCGACGAGTAGAGCCTATCAAGACCGGAACCAGGCCGATGGGCTCTACAAAAGAACTTATTCAAAAAAATAACTCTGGTAAAGAATAGAAGTTAAATGCAAGATAGGTATGTTTCGCTTTGCTTAAAATGACCTATATATTCATACCTCTTAATCCTTTAGCTGCCATTTGATTTGAATCAACAAGAAATCCTCGTATTTTGTCATCGGTTAATGGATTTGCTATTCCATGATATAAAAATTTTTTACATGTTTTTAATACTTGTTCAATAGCTCCTTTAAAATATAAACGTGTTTCATTCTATGATAAAGACAAAACAAAAAATTACAACGAAATAATTTGAAGAATGAAATTAATGCTAAAACATACTGGATTATATTTTGGTTTACATTCTACAGCCATCCATTTAGTTTCATGTGCAAATGGCCATTCATGTTCACGATGAAATTGTTCACGAAGATGAGGAAGATTTATCTATTAGAAGAAGACAAAAACAAGAACAAGCAACTCTCATTCATTTGAAATAACAAAACACTTACTTTCAGAGCAACAGCAAGTAAAGCACCTTCAGTTGGTTGACCACGAAGTTGAAAATTAAAAATTTCAGCATTATTACAAACAGCTCCAACCTTTATTAAAAATTATTTATAGAAATATTTATATAACAATTAGAAAGATTTCACTTCAATTATTTTTGATAGTGAAGGATGTGAATCATAAGTTATTCGTTCTGAACCACATAAAACATCACCTTCACCATTATAACCTGATCCGGTTACCTAATAATAAATAATATTTAAAATATAGAATTTTTTTGTGTAAATACAAACTTCAGCATGTTGTCCATCGGATGTTAAAATGCTCGTCACAGTCATTTCATTTTTTGTTAATGTTCCTGTTTTATCAGAACATACTACTGTTACACAACCTGTAACATTAAAAAAAACGTAGACGTAATTATTAAGAAATATATTATTATTATTTAATAAATATACTCAACCGAGTGTTTCAACAATAGGTAATTTTTTAACTATTGCTTCTCGTTTTGCCATACGTTGAACACCAAGTGCTAATGTTACGGTAACAACAATTGGTAAACCTTCAGGAATGGCTGCTACTGCCAAACTAAAATAATAATAATAATTAATTTTTAAATTATATGTTTTCTGTAGTGACTGAACATTTCATCGTAGGTATGAGTGAAGATCTTTTATGTAAGTCGAAATTGAGATAAATGCATGGAAAAATATCATAAACGACATGATTTTTTTATTTAATGTTTTGTGTTTATTCGAACAAATTCTAGATGATTTTCTACTTTTTTTTAAAGAAAAATCAGAAATTCTTTTGCTCTATTTATGCTATTTTGATTGCGCAACCGAGAATTTTCGAAGGAGAACTTCATTATAGTTAATTGATTTTCTTTTTATGTTAGAAAAAAAAGAAACATGTGAAGTTGCAGAACTCTTTTTTTTGAATTAAACTTTTTTTATTATTATATAAGAAAAAAAACACACCTATAAATAGATTATAAATTTTTTTGAAGAGTTTTTCAAGGTCTTGATATTACCATTCTTTTATTCTGCACAAAAAGCCACGATTTAAAAAGAAACACGAGCTCTGTCAAACATTGCAGTCTGAGATACTCTTTCAAACAAAAAAAAAACCTATAGAATGAGAGGCTACAGAAAAGAATTGAGCTGTTATTGAATTTTATCTGTTGAATATATCTCGAAAATTTCATGACATAGGACTGAAAATTCCATGCGATTTGAATGTACATGACTCTAGATTGGTTTTTTGAGAAGAATCTCGAACCTATCATATATGTGATAATTTCATATATTTTTCTCTTTGAAATTCGTTATAGGAAAAATCCGGAATATTTCTCCAAAGGTTTCAGTCATTCGTATGAATCAATCAATCAATCTACGTTTATTCGAATTTTTGATAACTGCGACAAGCATCAATAATTTTATTCTTATGCTTTACAACTATAACAGATGTTATCACTTAATATAGACAAATAAATCTGAGATTTTTTTCTGTAAGTAAAAACTTTGAATATTACCTAACACCGATAGTAAACATTTCAAGAAGATGTCGTCCTTGTAACCATCCCACAACAACAATAAATCCAATAATACTTAATGAATAAAATGAAAGTTGTTTTCCAAGTGCATCCATACTTTTTTGTAATGGTGTTTTAGGTGCCTATATGGGAAAAAACAAAACTTTTTTTTTTGTAGATCAAAAAAAATTTATTTCTAATATTCTACTTCTTGTTCTTGCATCATTTGAAATACTTTACCAAATTCTGAATTTTCACCTGTACATATCACAATACCCTTATGAAAAAAAAAAGAAAAATTTTCAAATAAAAAATTATATGCGTTTTATAAATTTACTTTAGCATTTCCATTAAGTACATGTGTACCCATAAATGCTATATTTTTTCTATCACTAATTGATGTTTGTCTTGTACCAATTACAAGTGATTCAATTGTTTTAACTGATGGTTTTGTTTCACCTGTAAATGATGATTCATCAACTGATATATCATTTGCTTCTATTAAACGTAAATCAGCTGGTACACGATCACCAATATCTAATATACATAAATCTCCTGGTACTAAATCTCTTGCATATATTTGTTGACTTTTTCCTTCACGTATACATATACATTTTGGTGGTACAAGTTTTTTTAATGCTTCTATTTCTTTTTCAGCACGATTTTCTTGTATAAATGCAACTGTAACAACAATAATAATAGCTATTGTTATTGATAATGCATCATCATATTGTTTTAATAATAATGATATAAATGCTGATGCAAGTAATAATAATATCATTGGTTCTTTAAATTGTCCTAAATATTTTTTCCATATTGGTTCATCATCATCAACTTCAAAATCATTGTGACCATACAATTTACGTCGTATAGATATTTCATTTTCATTTAAACCTAATTTACCATCAGTATGTAAAATTTCTATTATTTCTTGTGTTGTTACACGAGAAGCAGCGTCAGAATTAATAAATGTCATAGTACCGTTTAATCCCGATAAATCATTTTGTTTATGATTTGTTATTATTATTGAAGATTCTTGATGGTCGAGTGGACTAGAAATACTCGACGATGAATCAGAATCAATTAATTTTAATGAGTCCAGTTGGTTGATTTTTTTATTTACAAAACTAAAAATTTAATATCAATGCGGTTACTTTTTCGTTTGATCTTTTTAAATAATGTTCGAAAATTATCGCCGATGAAAAATTATAGCATCTAAAAAAAGAAAAGAAAAATAAATTCAAAAGCTGTTTTGTTTGTGTATGTGTGACAGATGTGAGACGTTATAGATTTTTTTTACTAAATCAATAGAATATAATAATGATTAAACGAACGTGCTTTGCATAACAGCACGTTTTTAGTTACGTACTTGAAAACATTTATTGATTTTGTTTTACTGCATGAGTTTATTCTTCAATAGTTGCTAATGTTCAAGATATAGATGTAGTTAAAGATGACAATGAGATTTTTTTTTCTCTCTTTGGCTTTTAACTATGTGAATAGAACGCATGACAATAATATAGTAGTCTGACTAAATCAAACACACTTGCTTTCATACTTTCTTGCCACCTAAAAAAAAGAAAACATACAAAGTACATCAGACACAGAACATTGACATAAGAAAAGTAAGACGTCGAAAATAAAATCGTAAATGATGATTTAAAATCTGTAAAGAAAGAAAAAAAAAGAAAAAGTCATTTTATTCCTTAAGCTCTTGAATAAACTTTAAATAATCGCCAATTATCTTTTTTTTTTTATTGATTTTCTTTTTATACACATACAGATATCATTTCAAATCAACAAATAATACATCGGATACAATGAGAAGTTTATTTTTTATATTAGGTTGTGGTGCAAGAAGTGTTAATGTACGTTTATCTGAATCCACATGTTGACTAATACAAACAAAAAGAAAAAAAAAAACCTAAATTCAATATCTTAAAATTTTTTCTTCTATCATAAAACTTACACAACAACAAAGCCAAGTAAATTTTTTGCTAATAATTGTTCAGGGTCATTTGAACTACTAACTGATAAAACATGATGTACTAATGCAGCACCTTGAGAAAAATAAATCAAAAAATTGATGAATCTAAAATTTTTCTTCCTCTTTTTTTTTTACTTGGAGCTACTGGTAAGATTTTATTATATGGATTTTTTAAAATCATACCAGCTGGTAAACATGAATCAGGTATTTGTGGTGCACCAATTTTATACATTTTTATTTCATTAAATTCAATTGTAAATACATGTGGACATATATTATTTTTTGGTCCATAAAAATATTCACGAATTTTATTTTCACGAAATTTATCTTTAGCTGCATCTTTTGGTACAACCTAAATTTAAAAATCTTTAGAAAATTGTTTCTTTTTTTTTAAAGATAAAACTTACTCCGCCTGATTTTGGTAATGTTATAACTTTAACGGAAGGTAAATCTGATATTAATTTTGTTGCTAACCATTCACTATCAAGAACAATTATTATATCGACTATTAAAACATAAAAAAATAAATTAGGAAGTTTGCTTTTTTATTTGATAAAATATATTTACCATCAAATGCTTTGGCAACATGTTTAAATGATTCATAACCTTCTTGACGAATATAACCACAAGTGTTGACAACAATACCACTGATAAGAGCTAGAAAAAAAACGATTATACTTTATTGTCCACTCGAATTTTGAGCTTCATAAATAATTGATGTGATAAATCTACTTCAAATAACATTCATTTGATATAGAAGATAACTGGAGCCTTGTGGATCAAGTTTTCTCGACTCCAAAAATTATTTTTGACTGGGGGGTCAACAGTGATTCCAAAAATCAATCATTATAAATTTAATTTTTCGTGATAGTAGCTCGGATAAAGAATCAAAATGGTGACTTAAATAGAGAAAATTGTCTACAATAAGGATTAGAGAAAAATAAAATCTTCACAATATACTCAAAATCCAGGATCTCTAGAAAACTCCAAGCCTCGTATTTCGATCTCCAGGCCTTGGGAATAAACGCTTTTTTTGAATACACAGGTGACAGAGCAAGTCTCTACAAGATGACACTAACCCACCCTAAAATTAATGTAAATCAGTCAAAAAAAAATGTGGTGGAGAACTCGGAGACCTGTTATTTTGTAGAGAATCAGTTGTTCTATTTTTCGAGATCTCAGTGTTGAAAAGCTACGTTTGGAAACTTTACACTGATCCCGAGTGTCTGGAATATTGTAGAGATTTTATTTCGTTTCAAATCGTTATTGGAAATAATTGTCTATCTTCAAGTTACTATTTAGATTCTTTATGCAAATTAGCATTACGAAAAAAAATCAAAATTAATCCTTTGTACTATTTGTTAATGAGAACTTCTCTCAGATAGATTTTTTTCTTGAAACTTATTTATGAATCTATAATGTAAGATATTTTGTTCATTATTCAACATATGAAGTATAAACTTATTACTATGTAAGAGTAAAAATACTTAACTGTTTTAATGATATGACTCCAATCTATGGCTCTAAAGAAAACTCTTTATTTATTTATATCTTCAATATTAAAGCATAACTCCTATACAGTAAAACTTTTTTCTGTGAGTATCTCCTTATACTAAACATTCTATAGTCCGCTTCAAGAAAATTTGCTTAGAAGTGAGTCTCTCTAATATGAGTATTTTCTTATTCGAAGCCGTAAGAATTTATTCATGGTCCAATAAGCAATAACAATCCCTGTAATAAGTGCAAAATATGGCTGTCACTCCTGTAGAGAACGAGAAAAAAAATATGTTTTTATGTATTTTGTGTAATGAAAAACAATCATCGGACACAAACAAAGAGGGTAAAGTAGCTGTGAATATTTAAAAGAGAAAAAAACAATATTAGACAACAACAATAATGCTTACTGTAACACCGTATCGTTTTTATTTTGGTTAACTGATAGTAACATTAAATCATGTCAATACAGGTCGAATTTTGATTTATTGTCAGAAAAAAAGGTTATTTTAGGTAGTCGAAAAGCGATTGCAACTGAATACTAATTGGTTGCAAAAGAAAACAGAAACTGAAAATCTCGCAATCACAAGTAAACACTTCTTGTCGATCTCGATGGTTTTCACATTAGAAAAGGTTTCCTATATTTGAAAACACATACGAAAAGAAGCAATTATTTTGTACAACAACATGGAAATAAATGTTATTTTTAATGTATCAAGTATTGACAAAAAACAAATAAATAATCAATAGATGGATCGATAATATATACTAGGTAGTGAATAAATATGTATTTTATTTAAATAAGACCGTCATTGTCGCGTGACTACGTTATTCGATATGAAAAGATGAAAATTGGACGATGCGAAAAATTAGTCAAGAAATTTATAGTAAAAGAATAAAAGATTTTTTTTTACTCTTTGCGGATGGATGACTCCGCATAGAGTTATAATGCTTTCCTAGTATTTTGAAACATATAGCTTCATATGTAATATCAGCTTTCGTGAAAGCATGTGTCAGGAATTTTTTTCAGTGCAATTCGAGTATTTATAAAAAGTTTTTATAAAATAAAAATGTAGATTGATTTATGATCAAATTTATGGAAAAAGAGAAATTCTTCTTTTTTTCAAAAAACCTCACCACCAAAAGGTTAATAAAACCTTCAACTCAGACGAATAAACTAAACCAATACAAAAAAAAGAAAAAAGACGTAAGTCCCTATTAACAAATTATAAATCACTACAAACAAGCATATGTTTCTATGATACATACAGCATATGAACTAAAATTTCTTGATGTGGATGCAGGTGTCAGCGTGTGAAGGATGCAAGAAGATCTACAATCACATGCAGACCCTTTTTGTTCAGAATTACAGCTAATATTAGTTGTAGAGAAAATATCAGACTACTAAATCCACGACAAGATAGTCGAAAGACAGAGATATTCTTTCTTCTTTTTTATTCAAATAGAAAACTATATAATTATTTTAACTCTTTGACAAAAATGAATACAGTCTTAAACGAATAAAACTTCGTTACTGTTCTATACTCAACAGCTTAATTTCAATCTCTAATATAATATCGTAAAAAAATATTCTTACAAGAGAAGTCTTTCAATTGACTAATTGCTTTAGAGTCTGAACTATGTGCATCGTGTGGATCCTAATGAACTATGAATACCGTCAAAACAGTTCAGATGCTGTCGAGATATTGCATATATACTGAAATTTTTAAGTCAATACTGTGATTCAAGATCTGCATTGGAATCGTCGAAGCTCTCTAAATTACCTATCAGTAAATTACGTAGAATAGTACACTTTTATTCTTTGACATTCCATTGTACAAAATGGTATATTTTGAAAGCCAGATTCACGTTACATCAGGGCTTTACAAAGGCAAGGTAAAGTCGGAGTTAAGGTTGACTTTCACTTGTTCCCATTAGTGGAAGTCTCAAAGAAACACCAATCGAATTTCGACAACATATCAGTTTATACCAAAAAATAAAATTTAAAATTCAAAAAATCTTTTACATTAAATCTGATTTATTAGTAAAACATTTAGCTGACTTCGATGCAGTCCACTAGCCGTGGTCTTTCTCAGAAACGCTAGAAAATTTCGATTTGAAACTTTGCACATATATAAGTCTTAACGAGAATAGTTTAATTTGAAAGTTTCAGATCTTTTAATTTCCGCCTATCCTGAGAAATAAGAACATCGAATCTACCAATATATATATATAAGCAATGTAAACAATAAGGTTTTGCCACAGCTGTATGTTAGGATAGGAAACTTTCATAATCAACTGTTGCCGGTTAGGCTTGTTTCTATGGAAAACTTCAAATTGAAACTTGAAAATGAATTTTTCTAGTATTCCTGTGGAGAACTACGGCATTGTGCTAAAAAATATCGTAAAAATCAGAGAATGGACGGGGTCAGGTTTTTCATAATTTAAACCGAACCGATCCCATCTCTGGTAAAAACACAGCAATAAACTGAAGGCCTGAACTCTTTTCAGGATATTCATAGATCATTAGGATCTGTATGATGCACACAATCTCGACTCAAAAGGAATTAATCAGTTGCGGAATTTCTCTCATCAGACAAAGACTGTCAGTACTAATAACGAATTGCTTATCTCTTCTTGTTATAGTTCAATTCTTATTGAACCTTTACCAATAGAAAGAAAAAAAAATTTATCTCACATTTTTCGACGTTTTCCGATCGAATATTAACATACATAGCCATTGATGATACTATTTCATTATATAAACCAATATTTTCACCGGGTGTTTTATAACCATAATGAAAAACAAGTGGCATTTCAATTCGAAAACCTTCTTCGACAGACGCTGGTCGACGAATAACCATAGACGCTGACGAAAAATAAAGATTACATTAAAAAAACAAATTTTAATTATTTTCAAAAATTTTATCTTACCAATTGTTCCTGGAATAGATACTTGATTTTGTCCAACATCAAGATCAACTAATATTGGCGTTCGACCAAGTCGGGCTGCCCAATTAACAAGCATTCGACATAATGTACTTTTACCTACATCGGGTAGACCAGCTACCATTATCTATTACAAAAAATATTTATTTGTTTATTTTTTTTTCAATAGATTTAATTGAATTTCTTTACACGAGGTCCACGAGTTTTTTCTGATTCAGCTTTTTGTCTTAATTGTTCTAACATACCATGTACATTTAAATAAATATGCATTGGATTTTCATCACGTGCAACATAATAATCATCATGTGATGAAATAATCTAAATCTATTCAATTATTTCAACAATAATTTCGAATAATTTCAACATACATTTACAGTACAACCCCAATAAGTAAATATAGAAAATTTCATTCCAGATGTAAATTGATATTTCTGACCAATAGCTAATTCAGTACCGAATATTTCAGCTTTACCTGAACGTAACTATAAATAAAATCAAATAAAAGTTTCTACATAAAAAAAAACACATTCACTCACTTCAAGCGTCAATGTTTCATCTACATCACCACGTAACTCTTGTCCGGCTTCAATAACAATTTCTTTCTATAGATCAATATAAATTCGTCTAATATAATGTAAAAAAATTTTTTTTTAAAGATTTACCGTTGTCATTGTTCTTCTTCTGAAAAAAAGAGCAAATATTAGAAAATCTTTAATGGTTTTTTTTTTAATCGATAAATTACTTCAATAAGATAAACAACAAATCAAACGAAAGTATGACAGTTTTTTCTTCTTTTTAAAAAAAAATGAACAATTATATGAAGAATAAAACGATAAATGAATAAAAAAAAAATACAAAAAAAAAGCACAAGAATAATTGCACAATCAGTAGAATATCAAATGCACACTATCAAACCAAGACAAAAAAAAATAGATGTATTGTGTATTGATCATTCATTAAGTTTTTATTTTCTATAAAAGAAAAAAAAAACGAAAATATATCGGATGAGTCATAAAGAATTGCACTGTTAGTATTTTTGAAATTTTCTACAACGATATATTTGAAAAATGGTGATAAATCACCAAAAATTCATCATGATTTGAGTAGGATGGTTTCAAAAGCGAATAATTCATTTATGCACAAAAAAAAACATCGACTCTACCAATCTCTCACATTCTCCTAGTCATTCACGGATAGCTTGTACAAAAGACAGTATCTCGATGGACAAGAACCGACAGTGTCGGTGATTTTTAAAGATAGAATAATGGAAATATGGAAAAAAATTTCAAGTACTATCTTTTAATTAAAAAAATATGTTTTAATCAAGGATATCATAGAAAAGAAATTTTGAAAAATACTAACAGTGCAATTTTTTATAGGCTATCTGATATATGTGTATGTTTACTTTGTCATTTAAATTCCATATAACTATTTGACCAAATAAATCTGCAGAACTTATTTTTACTAGTTTACCATTCTCGTTTTGATAAGGCACAATTTGCCTAGAAAATAAATACATAATAATAAACAAAAAAGGAAAAGAACAAAAATTCAAATAAGTTTTACGTTATCATGCTTTGATGAGTTGAAATAGGTTCAGGTGTTTGTGTTTGCATTGCTGGTTGATCAAAGCGACGACTTTAGAAAAGAAAAAAGAAAAAGAAAAAAAAAGATTAGCACAATCCTTGCAAGATTAAAATATGAAACATGTTGTAACTGCTGTTATTAATTATATAGAGATTCTTTTATTCTATTATTTCTTTACCATTCTTCTACTTAATCATCTAGATATGCAATAAGGAAGAAGTTCATGTATTATAACGAAATGTTATTTACATATAGTCTATCATCGTATATCAACAATGTCTGTGATATGTCGTTTTTTATATGTCTGTCACGTCTGCGGGGAAAAATGAGCAGATATAAATTTTTATCTCTATGCTTCAATACTCTTTTTAGATCGTCCTTCACAAAAGATATTAATAAATCATCAGTAATTGACAATTTTATATTGAATGGAAAGAAGAGAACTCAACAGCAGAAAAAATGTAACAAGAGAGATTGCATGAATAGTGTGACATTGTTTAGATGTCATAAAAGAAATAATTGTCGTTGACTTTTGAATTAGGATAATTTATGGAAATTTATTGATAAAATTCAATGTCATATTTTTTCGGATATAGTCATACTTTATTTCGATATGATGATTAATGATTCTCTTAACTTTGGTTGAAAGTAAAAATATCAGAAAAATTCAAATTCACATTGATCACAGATCTTTGTATAATGTACGCCTGTGTACCGTATTATATTCTATCCATCAAAAAATGTCGAAAAAATTCTCTATGAAAATTTACAAGAGTTTCTAAGTTTCGACTGCAGTTAAGTTTCACATGATTAAATTGTAATATAAAATCTAAAGTTTATGATTCGAACACAATGATGTAGATATATATATATATATGAATTGTACAAGTAGATGTTTATAATACACATCAAAATTTAATATGAAGATACTGATGAGAGAAGTGCCTGAAGTGTTCCGTTGACTTAGAGCTCATATTTTTCTCACAAGTAGACGTCAATATTAATAGTCAAAGTTTACAAGGACTCGAACCCATAGGCTATTGAAGCCGACTTATAAATATTTCACTGAATTTTTGGCTTCAGGCAAGATATTTATGAAAAAATCGAACGGTGATATTTTGCTCATAAAGAGGTCTCATGGTTATTAGAATATCCTAAAACTATCAGCTAAAACGGATACTTTATCTTGGAGATACTGAATTTTCAAAGCTGTTCAATTTTCTGACTTTTCTATGACACATGATCGTTTTTTAGCCGTCCAATATCTTAAGGATAAAGCATCCATTTTAGCTGAAATTTTCAAGACATTTTAATAATCATGACACCTTTTTATGGGCAAAATACCATCATTCGATTTTTCCATCAATGTCTTGTCTGAAATCAAAAATCCAGTGAAATAATCATAAGTTGGCTTCAACAGCCCATGGACTCGAATCCTTTCAGACTTTGGTTATTGACATTGAGGTCTACTTGTGAACAAAATATGAGTTCTAAGTCGACGGAACACTTCAAGTACTTCCCTTGTAAGTGTTAAATACACTCATGTGATCTTGTTTAGAATATTCTTGAAAAATATCTGTTATTAGGCCATTCCATATTTCATCGGTTGCATTCTCTATCGATGAAATTAAAAAATCAAAAAAACAATTCATGGCTTTTATGAATTTTATATCAAAAATACGAAAAATAAATGGCATTTCTGATGATGCAATAGACAAAAAACATTGATGTTTTTCAAATTCATTGATGAAAAGCGACATTTTAATTAAGCAAATGTAGTCGATTTTATTTTTAATCAAAATCATACAATGAAATTAATGAAAATGTCTATTTCAACCAATGAATTTTAAATACATCAAGTTTTTTTGTTCGTTTCATCATTTTAATGCCATCTTTTTTAGTTCTTTTAATTCCCTAGGTAATTAATTATATAATATTGAATTATGTCAATAACTGATCTATAGTCCTTCTTCTAATATTATTGGACCAGTATGGAATCTTATCAAATAAAAAACTTGAAAACAAAATAAAAAAAGAGTTCAGAAGACGCAAAGTGAACTGGGAAATGAGGTCGATAAAGCATAGAATGATTCTATTAAGAAATATTACACGATGTATTAATATTTTGTATCTTTGTATTAAATTTTTATTTGTATCATCAACGTCAACTTTTATACTATTCATATATAGTCACGGACAAAAGTTTAGAGCAATTGTATTTCTGAGTTTTCTTCACGATAGTAATAACTAGGAAAAATCTGAAAAAACTTTGAAGTAGCTGAAAGAATTTTCTATCTGGATTGATAGATCTAAAAATTCCGATAAAACTACTTGAATGAGGATGTTTGGAAGACTAAGACCTTCCAAGTCAATTTCTGGTATCCATTTGAAGCTTTTTGGAAGTGGTTCTATCTGATAGAGCAAAATAAGATGTCTCGACTCTCTCTGTGACGTTCTTCCATCGAACTACATTCAATTTACAGAAGATCCAAGAAGCATCTTTCTTTTGTTTCAGCGATTTCGTCGTGGTTGATACTTTGAAGTCTTCTATAAATTGAACGAAGTTCGATAAAGGTAGGTCATGAAGAGAGTCGAGACATCTCATTTTGCTCTATCAAATAAAACTATTTCCAAGAAGCTTCAAAAATGCTCCAGAAAACTAGTTGTGAGAAGTCTTGATTTTTCAGACATTCTCAGCCAAGCAATTTTATCAGAGTTTTTATGTCCATTTATCCTGATAGAGAATTCTTTCAGATACTCAAATGGTTTTTTCAGATTCTTTTTTATCGAGAAAAAAACTCAAAAATACAATTTCCAAGTATTGTGTACCTACTATATTCTCAAATAAAATAAATTTTTCAACTAAAAATTCACTTCAAAACATGCTTAAAACACTGCAAATACACTCTTTTTTTCTCATACGATGCTTGATATGGTGTAACAAAATCTACTTCTTGACTACATAAATCACGAGAAGAAAAAGAAATATACATATAAATAAAAATACGAAAAATAAGAATGAAATTCTAACCCAATTGATGAACGACCAGTTGATACTTCTTGTCGATCAAGTTTTTCAACAAATTCAATTGTACCTTTATCTTGATCATAATTATAAATTAATGGAGAAAATTCATGTCCCTTTATAAATAATAATAAAACTATTCAGTAAAACAAAAACAAAAAGTTTTATTTTTTTATAAACATACTCCAACAATTAACATTGATTCATTTATAAAAATAACACAACGAAATGGTAAATAGTTTGTTATTTCCATTTTAATTCTAAAATAAGAAGTTTTATATTTAAATTTTCTTTTTCTTTCAATAATATTCAAACTAACTGAGATGGATTCTTAGCTGAAACAGCAAATATGATTGAATTATGTGATACCCATGCAAGATTATCACCTAATGGTGAAAAAGCTACATCATGAATCCAACCTGATTCTAAAACAAAAATCAATTATATTTATTTAAAAACAGAAAAACAAAAATTTTTTTATTTTTAATAAACCTGATTGAAATTCATATAAAAGTTCGTTTGTATTTTTAATTGTTCCCCAATTTGATGTTTGTGCTTGATCATCAACAATTTTAATAAAAGCTGAATAAATTCTATAAGCAAAAAAAAATAAAATAAAATACTTTTTTTGCAAATGAAATAAATATTTCGAAAAAAAAAATAATAATAATAATACCGGCATCGATAATCACAACTACCAACAGCAATTAATTGATTATTTGGATGCCAAGCAATACAAGTTACTGTTGATTTTGGTTTTTTTTTAATCATTTCAGCTGCCCAAAATCGTTGATCTTTTTCATAATAACATATAGCAACATTTTTATCACTTGAACCAATAACAAATTTATTTTCTATTCGACAAAAAAAAAAAGAATAATTTAATTTTTTTTGTTTTGCTTGTTTTATTATTATTATTATTAAAAACCTTGTGGTGACCATTTAGCACAACAAACAGCTCGACTTGTTCGTTGTAATTCTACCATTTGTGGTTTCCAAACATCATTTTCTAATGTCCAAACATATGCATTATAATCCTAAGAGAAAAATCAAAATAAATAAACAAAAAAAAGCAGATTGTTTTTTGTTTTGATTTTATATTTACAGCACTAGCTGAAACAATTTGATTTGTTTTTGGTGCCCAATCAATAGCTAATACACGTGATAAATGTTCACATAATGTATGTATTAATTTCCATTTACCAGCTATTTTATGATATATACGTACATCATTTTTTCCCAATGATACAGCAATTTCTATTTAATTAAAAGAAATAATCAAAACAAAAATTTTAAACATCTCTATTTATTATCAATAATTTAATGATAAATTTTCATATTCTTAGTTGATGAAATCTTAGAATAGATGAAAAAACAAATAACATACGTGTACGATCTTTATTCCATGCATGTGCAATAACAGGCAAATTGCCAAATGAATATATTTCAGTCATCTAAAAATTTGATTTATTTGTAAAAAATACAAAAAAAACCCAAATCTTGAAGTACTTTGTATTTTAACCAACTGAAAATGTGCATGTCCGGATGCATTATTATAAGATGCAATTACTTGTCAGAGTTAACAAATGGAAAGAGAGAAGTCTTTTCTTTACACAGATGGCTCTGCTAAACAATGATTTTCTTGTTCAATAGAATAAAACTAAATTAGATTGATTGTATTTCCACAATGTTCAGAGAATTTTGTTTGTATGATCATACAATATTGAATCATTAAGAATTGTAAGAGATTTGTTCAAACAAATGATTCATTAGAGAGAATACAATTTTTTTCTTAACGTGCTAAACTAAGCATTTGACCTATTTTACCTTGGATATTAATATTTATTTTTAATTTTATATATTATATAACATATATAATTATATACATATATATTGATAGTTAATGAAAGCTTATTAATATGAATAAAAATAGCAATACGATGATTTCAATCGCAAAAAATAAACATGTTCGTCAATATATCTAAAATCGCATAGTTTTTTGTTATAAAACTTACGCTATGTATTTTATTGATATAGTTTGATTAAAATTCATTCTAGACAAGACTTTATAATTAATTGAATCATTCACTTTACCAAATCATTTATAATTCATTTTAGTTATAGATGCTAAAATGCATTTTTTTTCATTGGTTCCAATCATCTGAGAAGCTAGTAGTATTCGAAAATAGGATTAAGATAGCATTGACAAGTTTGTCTTTAATATAATCAGATGACTGGCTAATCAATCATCAATGATTTTTTTTCTTCTTCTTATAATAAATTGAAGAAAAAAAAATAGAAGAAATCTTTCTTTCTTTTTTTTTTATCGTTTGTAGTCCGATCAAAATTGTAGTTGATATATTTACAATTGGATTTCTGTTTTTTTTTTTGTTTCCGGTTCGTTATGATGCAATCAAGAACTATTTGTAAATTGTCTTTTTTTTGCTCTATATGTGTCCGCTCTTATTTACATTTGATTGACACATATGTCCAGTATACGAAGGCGGAACGACTTAATCGAATTTTTTTTCCTTGCAATGGAATTTCTCTTCTTTTTTTTTTTATTAATGCAATCTCCATAGAGAAACAACTCACTAGACGATGAAAAGCTAACTAGAAGAAATCAAAATCTAATCTACTTGAGAAAATACATTTGACTAGCCAATGTCCTTTTTTCATTAGAACAAATCCGGTACAACAGGAAATAATAACGCATCATTTGATCAAACGCGTTCGATAAATTCCTATTATCTCATCGGTCAGTTGTTCTATTGCGCTTATATACAAGTGCAAAAATGAATAAGACTACATCAAGAGAGAGAGAGGAAAAAAAGAAATACTGTTCTTCGATTTCATCGCAGATAAAGAATAATATACCCAGTAGAATTGTTTTTTTTTGTTATATGACTTTTATTCTCATATTGCTCAAACATAAAAAAAAAATTTTTCTGTACAATAATTGGTCAGAAGAAGAAGAAGAAGAAGAAGAACATTTATCACTTTTCATTATTCATGTACGTACAAGGTTTTCTTAATTTTATTTAATTCTAATATAACAAAAAAAGAATATCCTTGACAAGCGAACTGAATCTTAATGAACAAACTTTTCTGTTATTTTTTCTCTCTCTTTTTTTCTTCTCCTTTTTTGCTAAACATGGCAAAGATTGATGGTATGTTATATGCAATCCGTTTTTTTTCCAATGCGTGTTATATCTCCGCTTCGATTTTCTTCTGCTTTTAAATTTAATTTGATAGGAATTATAAACATACACATTTAAATCTGCAAAACACTTAAGCCGTTCGAAATTATTTTGATCGGTGTAAAAAACAAAAACCTCTTAAGATTACTAGAAAAAAAAAGAGAATATATGCACACATGCATGTTACGAGATTATCACATGAATAACCTTTCCCACATTCTATTGTTCACAATATAATCATCAAGTTGCCTGTTTCTTATTGTTTATGACACTATTTATGCGATAGAGTTTATCAAGGATATTTGTTCTGATGTTTCTTGTTCAGATTATATCTCATGCTCAAATACAATTATACATATACACATGATTGATGACGTAAGTTCGAAAAAATTCTTGTACATAAATATATTCAAATAATTCTTATGAATACATTTTTTTTTCCTTAGGCAATATCAAATATTTTTCTTTATTCTATTAACTTCTAATCATATTGTACGATTACAATCTGACTATCGTAATCACAATAACTGTCCACATTTGTTTAAAACATTGAATAATTGCACTTGTGTTCATCCGAATACAATTGATTGTAGTTATTCAACAACAATTTCTCATTTACCACGATCGTGGTATTCATTAAATCATAATTTAACAGAATTTACACAATCAATTAATCGTTTTGATCTTGTTCATACACCATCAATTACATTAATAAGAACTGATGATTTTCAAGTATATAATCTGTTGTTTCTATTTTTGTTTTTTTGTTTGTTTTTTTGGTGAAAATTTCATTTTAGGGTCTTCAAAATCTTCGTTATCTTTCTATAGTTAATACTGGACTTATTAAAATTCAACCACATGCATTTCGTCATTTACCATATTTATATGAACTTCGTATTGAAGGAAATCGAAATTTAACTGAATTAAATTCATTCTCATTTAGTGATATTGAATATATACATCGTATATCACTTATATCAAATTCAATACGTGTTATAAATACAGAAGCGTTTCGTTATACACATTTTGTTAATATATTAGATCTTAGTAATAATCCATTAGAAGTAAGTCTACATAGATTATTTATTAATCATAGATTTTCTTTACTAAAAACAATGTCATCCATAAAGAATAAATATAAGTATAATTTAAAATTATTCTGAAAATGAAAGATGTAAGATAATATTCAATCGCTTAACGTATTGATAAATAATCTAAAAACATCCGCTATTGTCAAGTCATTTTTTTTTCTCTAATGATGATACGCCACTACAAAATAAACTTCTTCACTTGTATACATACGTTATTCAATGATTATCGAAAAATATTTCTATACTTCAGTCTTTGCTTAGTAATTAAGATTAATATATCCACCATGCATCATTATATATTCCATGACTGTCAAGAGTTCTATTTTTTATTAACAGAGATCTACTTGAATTAATACAAGTTGTTCTTTGTTTATTAAATCGATAAAGAAAACAAACTTTGCGATAATCTGATCAAAGATGGAATCGGCCTGTCGATAAATCTGTATTCACGGATCAGAACGACATTTAACGTCCAGACCAGTCGAATCATACTTTGATACTCTTAATGAAATTTTCTAATCGGAATCGGATAATCGTCCCAAAGATACTTATTTCTCGTTTTTTGTATTTGGTAACTAGTGCATCCTACACATTTCTCAGATGACCAAAGCGTATCGAGTCAACAATTTTCGGATCCGACAAGCTCTACTAAGGTGATCCAAGAAAAGCTTAACAATAACTCATTTTTGATTTTTTCTATCATGTTAATCCATTAGCTCAAATCTAGATAGTGATTTTAATCGCCAATAGAGTTTTCTTTTACCAAGATTTCATAGATGAGGTATGATTGCAAGACTTTTAAAAAAATGACATAGAGAAGTTTTCATGTCTCAGAAGACTTGGTCGAAGCTAATTTTTAATAATGTCATTTGAAAGAACACAAAATTCTGAATAAAATGAGAAGCCACCGTATTTGCTATGATCCTCCCTTAAAAATTATAAGTGCCACAAAGCTCAAAGAAAAAAAATGAAATTTATCAAAAAATCGTCTCAAAAACTCAGTTTTTTTCGAATTTTATGATATTTTTAATTTTTCAAAGCAAAACCGCAGAAAATACGGCGGCTCCTCTTTTGTGCTCTTTTAAATTGCATTATCAAAAACATAGCTCCGATAAAGTCTTCTGGAATCTAAAAACTACCGTGCTCGGCTTTTTAGCATCCTTACCATCATAGTTCATCTATAAAGTTTTAATAAAAGAATACTACATTAGCTAATAAACTCATTATCTGAATTTGAACTAATTGCTTAACATTATAGACAAAAGGAATCCAAAACACGTTGCTGTTGTTGAAATTTTTTCCATTACCTTATGTTCTCTAATCTACATTATCAATTTTGAAAAAATTTTGCAAAAAAAATCAAATAAATTTTTCTTTATTAAAATAGGTCATTCATTCATATGCTTTTTTTGGTCTTAAATCAGTTGGTACTTTAATATTATGTTCATTACCTATATGTCCAATAAAACAAATTGATGCATTTGCTTTTTTTGGATTTCATACATGTGATACAATATTATTAACCGGTATTCATACATCCTTACGTTCGTTATCATTTTCACATATGACATCAATTCGCCTTGTTAATTTATCTAATGGTGAAATATCACGTATACATTCACATGCATTTCAAGGATGTGAACATATTGGTGAAATTGATTTATCATCATCATTAATATCAAATATTGATAGAAATGCATTTGATGAAATAAATAATATATCATTATTAAATTTAAATGGAAATTTAATACGTTTATTTGAAAAATCAATATTTCAACGATTAATTAATTCAATAAAACAAATTAATCTTGATAATAATCCAATTCAATGTGATTGTACACTTGAATGGTATTTAGAACAACGTTCATCTAGATTTAAATTACCTGATGTATGTACAGGTCCAATTGGATATGAATGTTTAAGTCCTAATGAACTTCAACAATCTCAATTACCATGTTATCAAATAAATATAGATAATAATCAAACAAAAACAAAAAATTTATGTGAAAAACGTGTAAAAAGTATTATTGTCACAAAATCATCAGGATATTTGTATAGATTAAATACTTTTTTGTTTATTTTAATCATAATTATGTTTTATGTGTGAGAACATATAAAAAAAAGAAACAGAATTTTTCATTGATAAAGAAATATAGATTCATATTTAAAATATTGCAAATCGATAATGAAATTAATGAAAAACAAATCAAATGATGAATTTTCACTAAGTTGTAAAAATTAAAAAACGATCATGTCAAAC